ATGGTGAGTCTATTTGTGAGTGATCCCGCGGTGGTAGGGGTCGTATAGAGGGGGGCATCTAAAAGGGAAGAAGGTCGTAAAGTTTTGGAAAGTACGATACGACGACTGACCCTGGTGCTGCTGCAGCCTCTAGGCCATGATTGTGACAATTTTATCCTGAAAGTGGGCACTGTAGGAGGTTCCAACAATGTTCCCAAGTGCTCTTCAAATCTTTTCCCGCAGGAGGTTTTCCACGTAGAAAATCCTGTCGATTCTCGTTTATTTATTCCTTTGCCTAGCAAAGATTCCAAGTGTTCATTAGATGCCCAGTCCCCATCGGTAGAGCGTGAGTGTTCCTTTGAGAGTCAAGTCCTACGTGCGCAATTGTTGCCGGCGAAGTCCTAACGGAAATCAGCACGTTCAACGACACGCTGACGAAATCGAAACAATCTTGTTGTGTGATCTTGTGTAGATGACATAATTTACAGTGACATAGAAAGTCTACGCCCCGTTATTACATACATTCTAAACATGGAACTTCGGATAACACTGTAATTAGAAACAGTTGATCGCGATTTTAAAGGCACAGTTCACGATTGTCTGGATGCGGTTATTGCATTCAAAAAGAACGGTCAATCAGGTACAAAATGGGCATCCATTGAGGAAAAGGAAAGAATTTTCAAAAGAGCTGCGAAGGAAGCCTATCTTGTTTAGAAAGCGGTGGAGCCGAAACATCAAAAAAAAGATATCAGAAACGAGAGAGCAGGGAGATGGGTGATACGCAAGCAGTCAGACACGTGGGCATTAGGCAAACCCTGCGGAAGGGCGGATCCCCCAGTACCTCTTGGCCTCCTTAGCCCGAAGTCAGACTGCGAATCGAATGATCCGCGGTCGCGTTGAGTACAGCAAGCCATTCGTTGTTCGTGGCGCGACCGCGGACGCTAGCGAATCGCTCGATTCGCAATGTCCTGACATCTGCCTTAGCGTTCTTGCAAAAGCGTCCTCTGCCACAACTGTACCTCATATCGCCTCCTGCATCGTATATGGTACTTCCTCCTTTCCAATTTTCCTGTATGATTCGACTTTATATTTCATACAGGGATTTCCTGATTTTTCTGACTTGCTATTTTCTTATTATACGTTTTCGATTTTCTCTTTGTTTCACAGACTCTAGAACGTTTTTTAAAGGCACAGCACGTCACTTCATCGTAACAAATACTTTTTTCATTTGAATAAACCATTAGATACAGTATTCCAGAGAGGTAATGTTCCGTCGTCTTGGTCAGCAGAATTATCGAGCCGAAAGTCCAAGTGTCGACTTGAATGGATCGGTTTCTTTGTCGGTACACAGTGATCTATCTCCTCTTGATTTGGTATGAATTCATTAGAATGATTCCCCAAACTGAACACGAAAAAGCCCAGTGTTCCAGGACAGCTCTTCCACACGAATCTCGTCCGAACTCGAAGACATGTCGATGACGAGCAATAGCGAAAAGAACTCTGAATCTATCAGAGAACATCGGATTGTAGAAAAACCCGAGATCGCTATGATTGTAGCCAATATCTGCAGGAAGGTAGTGTATAACTTTTATTTTGTTTTATAGTAAACAAATTTATATTGCATTCAGAAAACAGATCTTTTCAATATCCTGAAGCTCTAATACTTCCGTCATCTATACAAAGTCTAGCAATGAAAGGGCCAGACGAATCTCTGCCCGTACTTACTGAGACACACGCCTTCTACTCAGAAAGACTTTTATCGAATGCGCTTCTCTGTTGTGGGGATCTGAACTCTGAAACTTTACTAACACAACTGTTCGAGGGATTTTAGCCCATCTTAAGAATTCTGACTTGTTTCAGACATCTTTGATAGCATTTAGTTCTTTCTGAAAGATAAAAAATGCCTGAGATCGGATAGACAGGGCCCCTGAAGTGCTACACAGAGGAGTACGCCGCCTGCACATATTTTCAGAAACGCATTGACTGCATAAAATTATATTATATAACATCTGTTTGTAGCGTGATATCTGTTAAAAAATTGCATTATAGCATTTCAGCTGAACACCATTGTCAATCTGATCCACGAATTCTCCACTGACGCCTTGGGTTTACGTGAAAGCGCTGATGATTTGCTGGACGAACTCCGCCGCCTCACCTACCCAGCCGCATAGCCGAGTCTCAGGACAGTCCTTATTACTTGTGCCTTTCACTTTGCGACATGAATTAGGCCTCACATCTGCGTTTTCCTTTTGAAATCGCTCCTTTTTTATTCTCCCCTATATCATAAATTTTCCAATTATAAGCCAACGTTGATTGTTGTTATAGAGCTGGCAACTAAATTTAGCGTTCTCGCGTGAATAAAAATTGACAATTTAAAGGCAAAGGTCGGGCTCAGGCACGCTAGAGAAGTAATTCCCGTGCCTGGAGGTTGTATGTGGGTAGCTGCACACATTGCAGCAACTTCCCACCTTGAAAAACCCCGTTAAGGCCCCGGGGCGTTCGGTTTCAATCCAGGGACCGCCCACCTCGCATAACGTGTGAAATCAGCTAGGTTGATTGCCGTATCAACCGATAGAACGACTGACATCTCCAGAAAACTTGTTTGTACGTGCCTCTTTCCCCAAGCCAGCCTCCTTCACTGCTAGTGGGAAAGAGGGTTTTGTTAACGGCCTTGTCGACGGTTTTTCTCAGTTTTTTCTCCACTGTCGTTCCACTTCGCATCTCTATACTCAGTTTCAATCGCCATAATACCCCCTTATTGAGCCCGACTTTTGCCTTTAAGAAACGACTCAGAAACGACTAAAGCTTCGGCTAATAACTTCGGCTAGCGAAATCTTGCCGAAAAAACACATTTCTGTAAAAACCCAGCCAAACCATTGAAGAAGGTCAAATGGACGCCCCAACAAATGCTTCCTCAGGCCATGAGAAACACGAGAGTAAAATGCATGGCGCATTCCAGAAAGGATTGATCAACACCGAGAGCTATATCGTTTTCAACTGAAAGTTCCATTTCACAGCCATCGCCAGCGCTATCCATCATCAAATTCTCTTTCATGGGCCATGAACACCATATCTAACCGCTTGTTCCGGTCCGATTTCACTTGCGCTGCAAAATCGTTCTCACTTCCGAGAAAGGACAATTGACCTCCTCATCCGTTCTCTTTCTCTCTCACTTGACATCTCGCCGACCACTTTCATTCACGGTCACACCTGTTTCAGACGAAAATCCGACCGTATCTCATCAATCTTGATATCGATATGCTATCCGCTGAAGCCGTGCTACGCTACAATATCGATCGGTCGAACATAAATGAGACACGTATCGATTGGTTACTTACCTACACAAAATATCAGGTAGGATTCTCATAATGGTAATCGGGGAGAGAATTGCTGTGTCGAAAGAGGCGGAAGTGGAAGCTTAGGTAGGGTAACCTTCGGTGAGTACTTCCGCGACGGGGGTCGCAGTTGTCTTGCAGAGGGAGGTCGTGCTTGCTGCGGTGGGACGGGGGTCCTATTGGAGATGGGATAGAGATGGTAATTATGAAAAGGTGGGGTCGGATCGACTTAGGTGAAAATTGTCCGGTAGCTTGGAATTTGGTACTAATAATCAAGTTTACTCCGAAGAAACAAACGGTGTCAGTTTCTCAGCAGTAGAATGGCGAGAAAGATGACCTCTTTTCATTCCGATTTCCGACTACCGACCTCCGCTTGAGCACCTCTTCGTTCAGAAGACTACTCTGATCATGTTCTTCAGCTACTTTTCTCAGATCTCGGGTTGATGTCTTTTGAGGTGAAGAGCAGAATAAGACCTCCTTGTTTGTAGCTCTCTTCACTTGTGGGCCGTGCAATTACCGGGGTATTTGTGAGCGGCACGCCGATAAGATCTAGTCCATTCATTTTTTTAGGCGACTATCGGCGACGAATCGGTCGCCGTCGTTACGGCGCTAATGTTTTGCACGAATCACTTTGCTTGTTTCGATCCAGATAATCGCAAACCTAATCTGATGTTTCTTGCGAGGGCTGGCGCGTGTACGACATACATACATAGTTCTCGACCTCGTAACAACTGCAGAAATCGCTTTCAAGTGCCCCGATGAAAAACACGGGAGACAAATCTGGTGCGAGGGCTAAATAGGGAGCATTACGTTTGATATACATGGGCCGCAGAGATGTCTCATTGTACTTAAAGGACGAATTCACGATGAAAAGCAACCCATTTCAAATTAACCTAGGGATGGTGAGTGGTACACGAAAGAAGGAAAAACCATGAGAAACGGCCCAGAACCCGAGAAATGGGACCCCTTCCTTGCCCGTTGATTTGAGCATTGATGCGACTCTCATCGCTGTGCCCTCTTCAACACTACGCTCTCTCTGCTATCTAATCACTCGCCACGTATAGACCTGCGGCGAGTGATTAGATAGTCGGTGGGCGTACCCCGCCAACCGCGCCAAGAGTGAGCCATGCTAGGTCGCCGAGGTCAAATCAA